GGCTACTAATTAATATGTTTCCCAGTAATTATATAATATTATGTATGGAAAGTTATTTTAAATCAATATTTTCCTCACATGCAAAACAATATAATTGAAATGCAAAACAAAACAACAAAAAAACAGTGAAAAACAGATCTTTAACATCAAAGAATAATTTGTACATTAAATTGCTTTTTGTATACTAAATTTTATTCTTTTTACTTACGGTAAATGGTCTGCTATCTTGGCATTGCGCTTCCCAAAACAGTGCTTTAACATGTAAAAAAATACATTGTAGTTAACAGGTGTTAAGTTTTCTGTAAATAAATTTCGGCGAGGAGTCATTCGAATAAAATACAGCTTTTGCTGTCCTAGTTCTGGTAATTCCTGGAGAAGAGAAAATAAACTGTGTTACTCATAAAATCTTGCCCGAGCAAGAGCCTACCTACCAATTTGTTTACTCATTCATTCATTCAAGCTAACTGGTGGTAGAGGCAATCACCACAGATCCCGAAAGTCCCTGTAGGAGGGGTCTAACAGTTCGTGGAGATTTTAATTAAGGATAAGAAAGATATTTCTCTTTTTTTGAAGTCTCCTTGCATGTTCTTGCTGTGTGTGTCAAGAATGTAATGCCCCACCACTCTTTATGTGAGCCATTTCTTAAGATTACTTGCAGGAGCACCCTTGAAGGATGAGATGAGGACATCTACCATTGGGACAATGAACAAGCTGCTTAATGTTTGCACTGACATAGATTCACTTAGCTCTGTGTTCTTCAGCTGCATGGCAAACCTTCCATATGCACAGTATCTAACAGCTGTATCGCATGACACTATTGCATTTGAGGACAAAAGGAAATGATATAGACACCCATGGCTGTTTACTGACCCAAGATTTCTTTGATCAGCATCCACTAAACAGTAACAGGTTAACTTCTGAGGTTACACACAAACATGATACTTACACTGATTCCTTGTTATATTTGAGGGAAACAAGATCAGTGTTTCCAAAATTGCCAATAGTGCCGCATAGGGGGTACTAGAACAATCCAGGGGGCTGCAAAAGCAGAGATCTACACTCTATTCTGGATTATGTGCTATAGTACAAGTTTTTAATTGCTGGGGGTGGGATGGGGGAGGAGGTGCTAATTTTTTTTTTTTCCCTGAAAAAGGGGTGGCAGGCCAAATAAGCTTGGGAACCTATGCACTTGATCAAATGATTAAAAAACTACCAAACTGTAAATGTTATTGGATAAGGGGGCGGGTAGCTCTCAGGTATATTGTCATTGTTATGTATCACTGAGTTGGTTGATTCAATGAGTCTATGTACAACACATCAAAACACAACCCAGTCCTACACCATCCTCACAAGTGTTATTATGTTTGAGCATACAGTTGTAGTCACAGTTATTAATCCAGCTTGTGCTTCCATTATTGTCACATCATAATTCAAATGCATCACGTCTTCTGAGATTTTCCTTATTCATTGTCCAGCTTTCACATACATATAGGTAACTGACAATACCATGACTTGGTCCTACCTTAGCCCTCAGAGTGATATCCTTGTTACTCAATATTTTTTTAAAAAACTGTTTCATTAGGGGCTTATAGAACTCTTATCACAATCCATACATACATCAATTGTGTCAAGCACATTTGTACATTCATTGCCCTCATCATTC